TGCAAAAAAAAAAAAAAAGCGTGTCCCCATGATTGGCTATTATTGGCCAATTGGCAGTCAACTTTGATAGTAGTTGTGGGGGTTTTCTCAGTGTTCTGCAGAGGGAAACTTTATTTTTCATAGTCAGTTGGTAGTAGTTAAAGTCAGCTCATCTCGCGGGCTTTTGTTTTCCCATGGTTTGGTTTGGTTTTGTTTTGTTTGGTCTTTTAAGAGCTGTTTTTAAACTATTTGCTGCGTTTTTGTTGTGCTCTACCAGATCAAAATATGCCCATTTTGGTAGATTGTCATTTGTCAAACTTGATGTGAATACTTTTTCATCGGTTTCTATGCTCTTTCTCTCTTCTTTTCTTTTCATTGGAAAGGATAAATCTCTTCATTATTAGGATAAGTCCAAGATGAAATTCCCACTCAACTAGAAAGGAAGATGAACTGTTAGATCGAACTCAAGAAGAGCTCATCGGAGGCAACATATATAGCAAAAGACGGAGGATTGGATCATCGGTGACTGTGTTATGGTCGGGGTTCAATCTTTCACCTATGACTTATCATATTATTATCCGGTGATGGAAGTAATCTCAACATTTTTATCTTGTCTTAGATATCAATCGGAGTAATCTATTTTTGGTCAAATTGTTTAACCTTAAAACATATAAATAAAACAAATAGTGAATTTAAACATTTTTATAGTATAGATTTTAGCCACGTGGAGGGAACGAAATGCATGGCCAAGTTATATTGAAAGCTACACGCCTCTCTGGTCAATGGCATGTAAGACATTAGGGATGACAATGAAATTTAAATTCCAATAGTTTGACATTATGTGAATTTGTGCGATTTTACCAATGAAATTTAATTTCCATAGTCAAGAGATAGCTTTAGATGTTGAAAGATTCATTCCAAGAAAATAGGATTCTTCGGATGTAATTGTTTTATTCAAAAAATCTGTCCATAATGCTATCAACTATTGACTGATTTTGATTTTCAGCAAATAAATTTTTTTGGTTAGAGATATTTTTTGATGAACATTTATTTATCAAAATCCTTGGGTAAAATTGTAGCTCCAAATGAAAAAAATTGGTGCCAAAGCTTTGACGAAAGTTATTCGATAAATTTTTATTGGTAACACTCCCATGTACTATTATTGATGGAATTTCAATGGAAGTTTCCTCTATATTAGGGTTTAAAAATAGAAAATTTCTTAAAACAGTTTGAAAAATAAAAAATCATTTTCAGCAAAATTATTCTGTAAAAAACACTGTACATTTATCTTTATTGACAGATTTCTGATAATATTTCTATCAGTTTTGAGACTTAAAATTGAAAAGGATTTTCAACAAAATTTTTATTGAGAATTAGTAATTGATGCATATTGTTTTGCTTCAATGAATTTTTGGTTATTTCTTCTCGTTGCGTTTTGGTTTGTTCGTTGAGTACTATTGTAAATAAATGTAGACAACTTAGTTAGAATGACTTGCCGCATATTTTGAAGTGTTCAATTGCATGCATAACGCGATGATTTTGTTGACAACAAGTTAAAAGTTGTTTGTATACGTGAATTTGGATTTATTTATATTTTAAATCTTGATAATGGTTACTTTAGTTATTAATTTTTTTCCTTACTCAATTATGTGAGTGGTAATTGTTTTTAACTAGTTGCAAGAAAGCAATACTTCTTTCGATAATGTCTCAAGCAATTGAAGGGTTGGAGAAAACTTGCATTTATGTATATGGGTTTGGTTAGGGCTAAGCAACAGTCGAAGCTCGATTGATCGATGTTGATTTAGTTGATTGATTTATTTTCACAATTTTCTCAGGGGATTGTCATGACTTAAATCTAAGGGTCCATGACGAGCACCCTTGAGCCTGGTAGGCAAGCCCACGAGACTCAAGGAAGCTTTCATAATTAAGTCCTTATAATCAAAAGTCATAATCATAAGGCCTTATGGCCAACATCATTTCATTAAAATCTAATATTTAATATTCAACATTAGCCCCTTAACTCATACTAACATTCAGAACTTAAACATAACATACATGTAACCATACATTGGTTAGTTCATCCAATTGTTTAACATTTCATCACATAACATAAAGCAACTTCATGCCAACATATTTCTTTTACGACATACTTTATCTACATAACAGAAGTGTACATAACTATGACTCAAACTGTGATGTAGCGAAGTGTTCATTGTCAGCGAAAAATATACCACTTGTCAAAATTGCGTGTCTAATGTTGACAACGCTAAGTCACCCAATCCTTGGTGTCTATTTATATGCACAATACAACTAAAATGGGTGAGTCACACTAGTTCTCAATGAATAGGAGAATAGAACGGTTGTAAATGTGTAGAGATAGTTGCTACATGTATCATCTAGTCATGCATGCATATCATATATCTCATGCAACTACATAATGTGGGCATGTCAAACATCACCTATCAATCATGGTCTGTCATAATCATGGCAACCATAGCTATTAGTATACTAAGGTGGTATAATCATTGTCACCTTACTCTTGTAATATCGTCATCAACACAACCTCTTAACAATTTAATTTATCATATGAACCAGCCCAACATATGATCGTCTACATACATGACTTAGCATACATACCTTAAAGTGCTCGCCTCTGTAAACACCATTTTTATATTTTATTGATTAAGTGTTTTTATTTATTTGTATTTTACTTATATTTTCTTTTATTTCTGTTTTATAGGTTCTTTAAACTTTATGTTAGGCCTTGATATGTTCTGTGGGTTCTAATTTCTTAACTTGTTACTAAAGCCTTTCTAATAACCCAAAAACAAGTTTGACTAATTAATTTAACCTAAAAACCAATCAAGGACCATAATTAAACTAAACTAAGTCAAAATTAAAACAAACAGGAAAAACATTCTAGAATAAAAATTGACAGGCTAGTTGGCCATACAAAGTATCAAACAACAGTACTACGATAAAAAATGAATGGATCCAATAGCACCCATTGCTCGAATAGCAGAATAAATAGTAAACAGTAATGAAAAAGAAGAGGGGATCTGGGGAGAATTTCACGAAGCCCTAGTAATCAATTTTTCAAAAACCTTAGAAAACCTTAGAAATTTCTATAAAAGAAAACCCCAGATCTAAGAACCACTAGAGACAGTAGGAAGAGAAAACCATATGAAATAGCAAAAACTTATTTTACCAGTCAAATACCATAGCCACAATCGAAACTAAACACAAAAGAAATCATAGGAAAGCAGTGAAAAACAGAGAAATGAGGGGACAATAGTAGGTTAGGTCTTATTTTTCTCTTTTCGGTTTGGAGAAATTTAGGGTTCTAAAAGGGTTTCTACCAAAGAAAATTGTGAGAAATAACCTTCCTCATAAGTCTAATTCAAAAATATCCTTTTTTATAATTGTAACTATTTTTAATCAATTTTTGGCATGACTTGACAACAATACCCTTTAAACAATTTCAAACAATTAAAATGGTTTCAATTTTCTCTATCCCGCTATTCAGATAAAAATTTTTAAAATTAAATTCATAAACTACTATTTATACTCGCCATCCAAGACAAAGAACTGACATCAAGCTCTTTCTTATTTTGTTTTATTTTTTTTGGATGGTGGATCTTGAGGTTTTCAAGGGTGATAAACAACAATTTTTCTCTTCTATGGTGATTGTAGACAGCATGATGAATGTGGTAACTAAATGCTTTCTAGTGATGACTTACTTCGAAACTTGTGTTACGATAGAAATGTCTATGTTGATGAGTTGGATCAGATTGGTTAAGATGATAAGTTCAGGGAGAAATGACAGCTAAAGCATGTTTGATGGGTTTTATGGT